GCAGCGAGGAGGCCCTGGGGAGGCCCCAGCAAAGTTGCTGCAGCAGCAGACACAAGACACCCCACAGGAGGCCCTCAGCTGTACGTACACCCCAGCAGCTCACGCAACTCGCAAGTGGCCCTCAAGCTGCAGCCGGCAGCAGCAGCAACAGCAGCAGCAACAGCAGCAGCAGCAATAGTAGTGGTAGCAGCAGCAGGGGTGGTAGCAGCAGCAGCAGCAACGCTGCTAATCTTTTGCTAGGGCTGTGTGGCCTGAGTGAAAAGTGCTGCAGCAAATGCATTAAATGCATTAAAGCCTGGAAAAGAGACAAAAGAAATAATAAATAAATAAATAAACCAATTACCTCTTTTTGTAGACTTCCTGAATCTCCATAGTCCCCTGGGGGGCCCCTGGGGGCCCCCAAGGGAGACCCTAGGGGCCCCGAGGGGGGCCCCCCATCTTCTGAGACTGAGAAGAGACAAGAAGCCGCGGGACCTGCAGCAGCAGCAGCAGCACACTCTGCAGCAGCAGCACAGCTTGCAGCAGCAGCAGCAGCAAAGTCTGCAGCGGCAGCAACGCAACCTGTAAGGGCGAGGGCAGCAAAACCCGCAACCGCAGCCACATCAGGACGAGAACTCATAGCAGCAGCAGCAGCAGCAGCAGAACTTGCAGCAGCAGCAGCAGCAGCAGAAACTAAAGCAGCAGCAAGCGGCAGCCGCGAAGCAGGAGCAAAGAGGCAAGTAGAGAGCAGCAGCGGCAAAAAAAAAGGCAAAAAGGCCCCAGCAGGAAACCCCACAAGCAGCTAGAGAACATTGAAGGCAGCAGCAGCAGCAGCGGCAGCAGCAGCAAACTAAAAATAAACAAAAAGCCAAGGATGAAAGAACCAGAACTACACCCAAACTCTCTTTCTTACTTCGCGGTAGTGATAAGGGGGCCCCCATAGGGGCCCCCAGCCGGGACCCCCGGGGGGCCCCCAGGGGGCCCCCTTGGGCGGGGGCCCCCAGGGGGGCCTCCAAGGGGGCCTCCAAGGGGGCCCCCAGGGGGCCCTCTAGGGGGCCCCTCAGGGGGCCCCCCTCGGGGGCCCCCGGACTGTGGAGAGGCAGTACCCAACAAGAAGGTGAAAGATGTCTTAGTCTTGCTGGGGCCAGGAGCTGCTCTGCTGCTGCTGCTGGTAGCCTGCTGCCCTCCCCCTCTGCGGCTGCTGCTGCTGCTGCTGCTGCTGCTGCTGCTGCTTCATCCTCGGGGTGGATGCTGTCGCTGTCGCAGGTGCTGGCGGGTGTCTTTAAGCAGCAGACGCCTTCTGGAGTTGTTAAAAAGTCATATTTGGTGGCCAGCTGCTGCTGCTGCTGCTGCTGCTGCCGCTGATCTT